CTGCGTGCAAGGTGTGGTTCAAGCTTGGTTTAGATGACAGTGAATTTGAACCACAGTGCCTACATTGAGCTGCCAGACAACCAGGTTTTTGCCTTTTGCTCATCATCTTATCGAGGAACATAACATTCCTGTCCCTTTTTTTCCGAGATGACAATTCCTGCGGTTACAGGTCTGAGTTGTCTTCTCACAGTGGAAGGATGGACAGAAACACCTGTGGATGGTTTCAGATCTGAAGCAGCTTAATTTTCTCCTCTCTCTCAAAGATGAAAGCTTTAAGTGCTGTTTATCTGATGGGGACAGTTTTGGTGTCTACCAGGTCCTGCAGGTTGGTTTTAGGAGGCCCATTTTCTTTTCATATTTTTTCACTTATTTTCTTTTGACTTTCTCTTTCCTTATGCACATGGGTTATCTTGTATTTAATCTCCTCAGAAATATCTCCTGAAAAATGAATAACGTGTTCTTAATGGCTGTTTTGACTGGAAGTTAAATAAATGAAAGTTGGTCTCTTTTTAACAGCTTCACTGTGGTGAATTTTATATTCTACCTCTAGGTGTCACTACAACGTACTAATCTGACACAACAGGTTGCAAGAGACTCGGGTTGGATACGGCACCATCGTATTAAACTATGTCTCCATTTTTTGCGGTTTTATTTTTTATTTTTTTAGAGTCCAGCAGCTGACCTTTCATGATGAATGGACCATTACAAATCTCATAAAACTGACTTATTTTGAAAGGGTAAGACTATTTTTGCCATCTCCTGTGAAGTTACCATTTTGGGGATGCATGCTTTTTTCAGGACAGTGTTGAAATGCAATATTCTCTGTTGTTAACCAAAGTCCCTGCCAGCCATAAGGGTTGTATGAAGCTAATGAGAGCTGACATGTGTTAATTATGTAGGTTTATTGATCTAGGGCAGAAATGCATTGTTCTCGTTTAGGCCCAGTTTGATGACTCAGGACTCGAGCATTGTGGACTAGTGCAGGAAAATCCAGGATGAGCAAACGAAAGAGAATTAAATTAACTTGTTTGACCGTCATAAATGCAGAACATCCTTTAGTCTGGGTGGTCCAAATCAAGGCATTAATGTAGGACATAAGTAGAACAGAGAGTAAAGCAGAATATCTTCAAACGGTTTGAGGATGACCAGCATAGGCCTAATCAGCGTGCCGAAGAGGAGAACCGTGGCGCTGACTCTCTTTTGTTGGCCTTTGCACATGATGACCCGGAGCCAACAAGGCCATGAAAGATGGTGCTTTGTTAGACTAAATAAAAAAAGATAGAAAACAGCATTCTTTGCCAAAGGGGCAGCCTGGAATTGTAGCCCACTCATGGTATCAAGACACGGGGCCTGGGCCTGATTACATGCTGGTACCAATGTGTATGGTGGTTAGAAAGTTAAAGAGCCCATATCATGGAAAATTCCTTTTAAAAAAAGAGTTTAAAAAACAGATTCAGAGAAAATAGAATTCCTAACAACCACCTGGAAGACCTGGTAGACACCAACTGTCCCCATCAGATAAACAGCACTTATAAAGCTTTCATCTTTGAGAGAGAGGAGAAAGTCAAGCTACACTTTTGCTTCAGTGGTCGGTTGCTCCAGCTCTGCGTAAGTTTAAAACATGACTTTTTTTGTTAACTAAGCTAAAAACTCTAAACGCTGTATGCTGTGATTTTACTTACAGCCCAAATCATTGCCCTGCTTTAAACTCTGAGCATGAAGCTAAACACCCACAGCTCCAGCTCAATGAAACTGAGCAGCTGCACAAACGACTAAACTAAACTGATCTGCTGTTGTTGTTCAGCCAGAAACCATCATTTAAAAGCCACATATATGGTTGTCTAAGAGAAATATTAAAGAATAAACAGACAGATAATTAGTTTTATTCAGTTTAACTTGTACACATCGTTCTCTTCTATGCTGGATATTTTGTTCTATTAAAAAAGTCAGAGCATCTGCCATTGCGTTTCCATGGCAGCGGGTTTACTGATTGGTTCTGAACAAAGAAGCTGCTGGTTGTCGTAAAACAATGGAGTTTATACCTCAACATCACTCAATGTGTTTGGGGTTATTCAGATGGTGAAAAGCAGAAAATGCAACCAACTTCTACGACTGAACTTTGTAGGTGTGGAAAAACATCCCTGCAGATTTCTTTGAGAAACTGAAAGTGAGTCTCCTGAAAAGAACAGGAGCTGTAATGAAGACAACGTATTGACACATTAAATACTGAAAAATGTGATATTATGGTTGGTTGTTGAGTGATACAGAACTTTCTGCTGAGAACGATGTCTGATTGGAAGCATCGAACCCGGTCAGACACCACTCTGCTCCCTTCTGCTGTCACCAGGCCTGTCACGAGACTAATGGAAGGATCTGTGTGCTGCTGTGCCATGCAGCAGCTGAAGTGCACTATGTTTTTACTGAGGAGGTTCTCTGCCAGGCCCCGTGAGTCATGGCAAGTTGAAGCTCGGCTCGCGAGTTATCCCACAACACACCACACACGGAGCGAATCAAACATGAATTAGTGAGAGAAAACAGTCGCAGAGCGCTGTGGGGCGCAGTGATGGAGCGGCTGCAGGCCGGAGCTTGTTCACACCTGCTTTGTTCCACCGAACTGAGGCTTCACAGAGGACACTGGAAAGCCCTGACCCTATGTGTCTGAGCAGACACAGAGAATGGAGTCTGTGTTCCCTGCTAGAAAAAGAGGCATACCAGCATGGCTGGTCATCAGCAAAAGCAGCTTATGTTGTGTTTTGGCTGCTGGTATGCTGGTCAACCAGTATGACCATACTGGGTGGCCAACTAAACCAGCACCAGACCAGCATAAACCAGCTTAGACCAGAATGGAATTGGAATCCATGATGTGGGCCCTTTAGGCCATGCAGCTCTGGACTCGGGGCAAAATCAGAGATCAGAGCAGGTCAGTTCTCCATACCTTGCCTACAGGGGGCGCCACGGGCGCTGGGAAAGCACTGTGACCGAGGTAGTGCCTCTCCACTGTTGTGAGGGGTTAACTGCCTCCTCTAAAGGCGCTGCATGCTGTGTGTGTGTGTGTGTGTGTGTGTCTGCTCAGACGTGTAAGGACTCGACTCTTCTCTCTGTGTGAGTGTTTAAGCAGCTGATGGTCGTGTAGAGGAGAAGCTGCTCTGCAGTCACACCGCATTGTGTTAATTGAACCTAAGACACGCCCACTTTCTGAAGCCCCGTCTGCACAAACACTGCGCAGCCCGGCGATGCACTTAAAACGCATAAACACTGAAAGGCTCGGGGTCCGCGCGCACGCGCACTCGAGGTGGTCTGACTACACGTGGTCTCAAAGCGTCTGACCTCTCGCGCCCACGGAAGCCGTTTCCACGGAAACTGCCCACTTCAGGCCGACCGGCAGAGGAACAGAAAGAAAAGAGAGAGAGAGTGGAAGAAAAGAGTAAGAGAGAGAGATAGTGTAAGAAAAGAGTAAGAGAGTGAGAGAGAGAGAGAGAGAGAGAGAGAGAGAGTGGAAGAAAAGAGTAAGAGAGAGGGGGGGGGGTGTGGAAGAAAAGAGTAAGAAGAAGAGTAAGAGGCAAAGAAATAGATTAGAAAGAGAAAATAGAGAGAAAAACAGGGTGAGAGAGAGAGAGTGGAAGAAAAGAGTAAGAGTGAGAGAGAGAGAGAGAGAGAGAGGGAGGGAATGTGGAAGAAAAGAGTAAGAAGAAGAGTAAGAGACAAACAAATAGATTAGAAAGAAAATAGAGAGACACCAGGGTGAGAGAGAGAGAAGGGAGAGAGAGAGAGAAGGGAGAGTGAGAGAGAGAGAGAGAGAGAGAGAGAGAGAAGGGAGAGTGAGAGAGAGAGAGAGAGAGAGAGAGAGAGAGAGAGAGAGAGAGAAGGGGCAAAGGGGCAAGACAGTGAAACAACCAAATTAAAGAGTATAAAGAGAGAGAGAGAAATAGACTACAGAGAGGGGAAGATAGAGAAAAAATAAATGGAAAGAAAGAAATGAGAGGGACATAGAGGAAAAGAGGGACGAGAGAGAAAACAGTGAGAGAACAGAAGACAAGAAAAAGGACCATAAGAGAGAGAGAAAGAAGAGGGGCAGAAAAATGAGAACAGATACAGAGGGGGAAATAGAGAATAGAGTGAGAGAAAGGAGAGAGATAGAGGGAAAGAGAGATAGAAGAGAAACGAGAAAAGAAGAGTAAGAGGGAGTGAGAGAAAAGAGAAAGAGCAAACGAGAGTGTGTGTGAGAAAAGGAACAAAAGAGGCAGAAAAAGAAAGGCGAAAAAAGAGAAAAGAGAAGATGAGAGGTAAAAAAGTGGGAACTGAGACAGAGAAAGGAAAAAAGAACAGGGGAGGGTGAAAGATTGTGAGTGAAAAGAGAAAGAGAGCAAAAGAGAGTGTGAGAGGGAAAAGAAAGAAAAGAAGCAGAAAAAGAGAAATAGACAAGGGAAACAGAGAGGAAAGAAGATGAGAGACAGGAAAGAGTGAGAAACGAGACAGAGGAGCAAAAAAGAGTTAGAGAGAGTGAGAAAAAAAAGAGAAAGAGCAGAAGAGAGTGTGAGAGAGAAGAGAAAGAAAAGAGAGGCAGAAAAAAAGAGAGAAATAGACTAGAGAAGAGAGAGAGAGTGAAGCAGCGCGCGCCTCTCCATCTCTCCTCCCCCTCCCCTCTCTCTCTCTCTCTCTCTCTCTCTCTCTGTGTGTCTGTCTCTCTCTCACTGAGGTGAACAAGATCTGTGATCTGCGCTCCTGCTCCTCCGGCTGCGCTCTCTCTCTCCCTCTCTCTCCCTCTCTCTCTCTCTCTCTCTCTCTCTCCCCCTCTCTCTCTCAGTGCGGCCACATCCTCTCAGTGGGAGCAGCAGGGCGGCCGCAGGTCTCTAACAGCGCTGGGAATAAACGCTTTGAGCCTCAGACTCCGCTCAGACTCGCTCACAGACTCCGGCGAGCTGCGTCTCCTGCGCGGACACGAGGAGCACAACAGCTCAAAAACAGACTCATCGCCTTCCTCTGGAGCTGCTGCGGCTGCGATGCGCTCGAGCTCCGGATTCGTGGCCTTTTGCCTGCTCGCTTTTGTCCGGCCGGCTGCTGGAGTTTCTGCGAGCAGATCTACCCAAGGTGAGGACTTTAAACCGAGCCGGGCGTTCAGTCCCGCTTCGGAGGGGAAACAACCGCAACTTCACTGGGAGTTCGCAGTGCGGTTTCTCCTGGTCATGACCGAAAAAGCCTTTCAGCCTTTCTGCAGTTTGTTTTTGTGTGCGCGCTTGTTAGGTTTAGCCCTGCTGGGCTCGCGCTAAGTTAAGCTGGAGTGCTCCATTGGTCTAAGAGCTCAGTGATGCACGGGTCGCTTTATCATGTGTTGTCTGGAGGTGGGAACGAGAAAGATCTCTGACTGAGACAGGCTTGAGGGTCTTTCCAGGCTGCTGCGTGCATGCATTTCACTTTATTTCACTCAGGGAGAAGCAGGACTGCACAAAAACGCTCTTAAAGAAGATGGTTCTCCAATGGTTCTTTAGTAAAGACTGTGGTTCTATGTAGAACCATGGACACTCTGAACCATTTGCATGCTTAAATGTTTCTTTCCATGATGAAATGATTCTTCAGATTGATGGAGAATGTCTTGTATATGCTTCTACATAGAACTTTTCTGAAAATGGTTCTACATAGCACCAAAATTGTTCTGCTGTTGTTACAATGTCAAGCTTGTAACTGTAGAAAAGGCCTTTCTGCTGCTATATAGAACCAAATACACATTTTCTGTTAATCTGAAAAACCATTTCACTATACAAAGAACATGAAGTGAACTTATGGTTCTAAGTAGAACCATTGCCTTTACTAAAGAAATGTGGTTCTACATAGAACCTTTTTCAAAATGGTTCTATACAGCAAACTTGACATCGTAACAATAGCAGAATGCTTTTTGGTGCTGTATAGAACCATACACAACACATTCTCTGTCAGTCTGAAGAACCATTTCACCATGCAGAGAACAATGTAAGCATGAAAAGAACTCATGGTTCTCAATAGAACTGTTGCTTTTACTAAAGAAAGGATGGTTCTAGGTAGAACCTTTTTGAAAATGGTTCTATACAGCACCAAAAAGCGTTCTTTAACTTTTACAAACTTGACATGGTAACAATAAGAGAACCCTTTTGGGTGCTTTTAGAACCATTTGCAACACATTCTCGAGCAATCTGAAGCACCATTTCACCATGCAAAGAACCATTTAAGCATGCAAATGAACTCTTGGTTCTAAACAGAACCATTGCCTTAACTAAAGAAATATGGTTCTACATATACATAGAACCTTTTTGAAAATGGTTCTATATAGCACCAAAAAGGGTTCTTCTGTTGTTACAAGCTTAACATTGTAAGAATAGCAGAACCCTTTTTGGTGCTATATAGAACCATATACAACACATTCTCCATCAATCTGAAGAACCACTTCACCATGCAAAGAACCCTTTAAGCAAGCATGGTTTATTCATGGTTCTATATGGAACCCTTGTTTTTACTAAAGAACCCTGAAGAACCATCTTTTTTTAACAGTGTAGACTTAAAATCAGGCATTTCTTGAAAACTCATTGTATAAACTGACTTGACTTTGCTTGAGAAGCTATATATCGTACATATTGTATGGTTTTATCTAGAGTTGGCACAGATCCGATAGCAGGGGGCCGATATCTGATCCAGCGCTGTGACAGATCTCTGCTGAAATACTTCGTTAGCTGTGGATAGTATAGTCTGATCACGATTGGCTACTTTTAGAGGCTCACATTAAATTGCTTTCTTTAAAAACAGCACATTTTAAAGTGTAGTGGTTTGTTGGATCTGCATCAGTATCAGCCGATACTCAAGCTTATCGCATCAGAAAGGAAAACGTGGTATTGTTCCATCTCAGTATATCATATAAATGTGTATATTTCACTTGGTGTCTGCTGTTGGGATCTAGATCTACACAACCATCAAAAGGTATTTAGCACCATAAAGTCAAGCATTTGACACTCGTCTGCAATGCCGTGGTGAAACAGACACCTCAAACTGTAACAGTGTGCAGCGTATCGTCCCCGGCGATTTAGTTCTTTTTACATCATCTAAAAATGCCAGCTGCTGTTTACATTGTGCCAAAATTTCATGACGAATGGGCCAACAGAAATGGTCCAAAACAGCAAAGAAAAAAATCGTTTTTTATATTAACTTGCACTGAAAGTTAAAAAGTTTTCTGCTTTTCCTGAAAAGTTACGAGTGACAGTATGATACCTGCATATGCTTTTAACAGTATGTGTGTTAAAGATTTGAGTTGTTGGAGACAAAACAAGTTCTTTTTGTTCTCAGAAGTTCATTTGTAAAGTAAGAGCCCAAAGCCCGTCTTTCCTCAGCAGATTTGAAGTGAGCAGGATGGACAGTAATGCGGCAGAGCCGATGATTTGGCCCGCAGGACGGCGAGATTTGGCCGTGTGAGGGTATGTGTGTGTGTGAGATACATGGTGACGGTTCACACTCAGACACACAAAAAGCTGTCCCCTGGGCCGCTGACAGAGCGTAGGACGGAGGAGGGGGGGGCATCTTGGGTGGTCTGCTTCCCATTGTGGGAAAACCCAATATTTACATTTTGCAATTAGAACTACTTTTCCTCTTTTCATTTTCCACAACATCCATTACACACATCTCACAGGGCCGAGCGAGGGAAGGTAGCGGTGGCGCAGGCGAAACGGTCGGCACCTGTTCACTGTGTTCGCTGTGGTGTGTGTGTGTGTGTGTGTGTGTGTGTGTGTGTGTGTCTGTGTGTGTGAGAATTCCTGTGTGTGTTTTTGTATGTTCTATACTGGCAGCTTATTTGACTCTTTTTTCCACCTGAAAACTTTCAGCTTGTTACTCAGTGTGGTAACCTTCTGATGTACTGTTCAGTCACAACTAGGGCTGTAACAGTTCATAATTAGATAAAGTGATAAAGTTGATATTTATAAAGTGGCGTCTTATCTCAATACAGCAAAAAGAGTAAAAACAGAGTCAGTTTATAAGAGTATTTACATTCTAAAAGTACAACATTTGAACTTCATACTGTCCCGATCTAACACTATCAGCAAGCTAACATCTTAGCCACACACTAGCCATGAGCTAATATGCTAGTCACAATACGATAGTATGATGTCATGCAATTTGATGAGTTGTTACATCTCTAGTATTTACTATGAAGTATTCAGTAACTACTATACGTTATATAGTACTTACTATAAAGTATTCAGTAAATACTATAAATTGTTCATTAACCACTATGAATTATTCAGTGACCGGTATGAATTATTCAGTCTATATATCTACTATAAATTATTAAGTAACTACTATTAATTACACAGTTACTACTATAATTATTCAGTATCTACTATAAATTATTAAGTAACTATTATTAATTATCCGGTGTCTACTATTAATTATTCAGTTACTTGTATTAATTATTTAGTGTCTACTATAAATTATTCAGTAACTACTATTAATTATTCAGTAACTTCTATTAATTATTTAGTATCTTATATTCATTATCTGGCAACTGTTATGCATTATTTAGTATCTACTATAAATTATTGAGTAACTACTATTAATTACACAGTTACTACTATAAATTATTCAGTAACTACTATTAATTATCCAGTGTCTACTATTTATTATTCAGTTACTCGTATTAATTATTTAGTATCTACTGTAAATTATTCAGTATCTACTATTAATTACACAGTTACTATTATAATTATTTAGTATCTACTATAAATTATTCAGTAACTACTATTAATTATTCAGTAACTACTATGAGTTATTTAGTATCTACTATAAATAATTCAGTAACTACTGTTAATTATTCAGTAACTACTATAAATTATTTAGTATCTACTATAAATTATTCAGTAACTACTATTAATTATTCAGTAACTACTATGAGTTATTTAATATCTACTATAAATTATTCAGTAACTACTGTTAATTATTCAGTAACTACTATAAATTATTTAGTAACTACTGTTAATTATTCAGTAACTACTATAAATTATTTAGTATCTGCTATAAATTATTCAGTAACTACTATTAATTATCTAGTGCCTACTATAAATTATTCAGTAACTACTATTAATTATTCAGTAACTTCTATTAATTATTTAGTATCTTCTATTCATTATCTGGCAACTGCTATGCATTATTCAGTATCCACTATAAATTATTCAGTAACTACTACACATTATTCAGTAACCACAATGAATTATTCAGTATCTGCTGTAAATTATTCAGTATCTACTATAAATGATTCAGTAACTACTATGAAGCTAATATGTGAGTTATGTAGTTATGAGAGTGAGTGACTGAATAGTGGGTTCGTTATTAAGTGTAAGGCTAACTCACTAACAACCATTTATCCATTTAGCTCAGTGATTTCCAGTTCTGTTCCTGTGTTCCCCATGAACTGCCGTCTTAAGTGGCTGTTCCGGATGCCAATGTGTCTGATTTGATTTGATGTAATATACAAAAACCTCGACTTTGTTGCATTTCCTAACACAGTGTGTTTTGCTTTTGATTAAGAAGGCAGATATTGAGCTGATTAGTATGATTAGCTCTGGCCAGAACTTGGGTGTTTATTTAGCGATAGGCTTGGCCTCAGCTGGTACTGTTCTGGAGTCTTCAAAGGGGCTGGGAGAAATTAGATTGGCTGTTAGGGGTGTAAAAATGCTTTGCTGCATTGTGATGCATCAATCTGAAGGTTGCAGAATATTAGAATCAATTACAATATTATTAAAATGAATGTTCTAATAGAGGGTGGGCAATATAACAATATTTGAAAAGTGCATTTGCAAAAAACAATAAACGCCATCTTTTAAAAAAAACCAAACTGATTATCATGAGTTATTCTTAACACACAGCACGTTCAGAACCCTAAATATGTTTAGTCCCAAAAGCCATTACCGTCCATTATCAAGGCATCGCAAGTCCACGTTTTACAGCAGAAACGGTCAAACGCCAGCGCTGTTCTCAAACCCAATAAATCTGTTCAGCAAATCAGCACGCAGTATTCGAGTTGGGTGACGAACACAGCCGCAAAACTGTTTTAGGCAGAATCTCAAACGGCTTCCTTC